AATTTTTTCGGGGAACTGGGTACGTTATTTTTATATCTTAAAGTAACCAAATTAGACGGATATGTTAATTTTTAACCATTTGACCCTTTTTGGAGCGAATTTTTTTTAATTTCAATAGCTATATCTCCACAACAAGAGATTTCCCAGATATAAGCTATATACCAGATGAAAGCTAAGGTTTCGGGCTAGTTTTGTGGAAACCAAGAAAAAATCGACTCACCAGTTTTTGAGAAAATGCCCGAAATGTATATTTTCAGCAGCCCGATTTTTAGTTTTCAGGCGATAACGTTATGACATTTTTTTATTTTATAAACAGAAAAGATAGCATTTTATAGCTTCTTTGAAGACCCTTCTACTGATATCCACCATCAATGACATGGACTGAGTAGTGCGGCCTCAGTGGTAATTTAAAAAATTGCCTTTTTTTCGAATTTCAGGCGGCAGCCACGCCCACAAAGGCAACGAATCAAAACATCCTGAAACAAAACCTTCTTAGTTTTTTTTGTACTTTAATTCCTGAAAGTTTGAAAAAAATTAAATGAAGGTACGTACAGACGCCACATACATACCAAAGCATGTCGTAGTGGAGACACGAACCAAAACACATTTACCTCTATATCTTTCCAACTGGTAGCCGGAACCTAATAAATAAGGTATCGTTTGAAAGGTATTGGCCTATAGAATAACACCCACATGCCTCCTGAAACCGGCGAAAGCAAAAAAACGTTTTTTTGCAACACTTTAGCCTAGTTTTTAAGAATCCGGTTAATCGTTTATAAAGCTTGAATACATTTTCTGGACACACTCTGCAAGACCTTTCCAACGATATCTCAAACATGTCTATTGGACGTCTGGGTAAAAACTTCCAAATCTCGTGTATATATAAGCGAGTCTCTTCAGCATGCTAATGTGGCTGCTTTCGTCGCTCGCGCGCACTGCCGTGCGCTGTGATACTTCGTTCAATATTTCGTTTAAAAAGCCAGATTTCCTGTAAATACATTAGAACTTACAAAAGGAATTTCACTACTAATTGTCTACTTTGCGTACTTTTCTACTACCATTTTCGCAACAAGGGATTGCATTTTTCTCCTTTCTCTGTCCTTCGTAAATACAACCTTTTGTAAGGGAGTGTCAAACCGCGGCTGTCAATAATTATCTAAACTTGTATTATTGAATCATGGCTACTCCTGCTTAGGGATGAATCGATACAATTAAATCTAAGTACATACTCGATACTTTTCTCAAATTACCAAGTATTTTTGTACTCGATGCTTTTTACTGCGACCCAAGTAGGTATCAAAAAAAAGTACTTGTATCAAATAGTATACAAAAATATTTGTTGTCTAAAATGTTTGTATGAAAAAATACTAAAAGATAAATAATCTTGTAAAAAATGCATATTTTTTTGTGAAAAAAATACAATAACTTTTAAAAATATGCAAAATCGTAGTTGCATGTACAAGTATTCGATACCTTTCCAATCTGCGTTGCAGCTGAAGCGGCATTTAGTATCGGCATTTTCGCTCAGGGGAAGTTTGTTTGTTCGTGCACAACCGCGAGGTGATGCAATAAAGGTAACGCGCAAAGAGGACATAGAGCGTGTCATAGACAAGTTGTGACTGAGTGATTTATGTATTATGTGTTATTGTTGTATTAAGTTAAGCTACCCTTATGCCTTTATTTGCTTTATTATAGGGCTATTCGCGATTCGGTGCATAAGAACTGACAAATTTAT